ATTTAAATTTTGTCATTTATTTTGTATATTATACTTGCTTATTTAATATAATATTACATAATATTATATCACAATTACATTTTAATGATATTTTTATCTGAATATTTTAAAAGGTCAAATATAAAAAATATACTAAATATATGTTTAACAAAATTTACTAACATAAAATTTAAATTAAAAATATATTTATTTAAATTAGAATAAGAGTCTTATATAAATGCTGGGCACGCGAGAATTAATAATGGACGAATTTATTCCACTTTGACTTTTATGTGGAAACCTAAATATAAAATAAAAGAATAATAAGCAGATATAAACATGAAAAATAAGCCTAATTATAATAACTTATATATGTTTCTACAAAAAATGTGTATAATAATATAATCGTCCCATACTTTAGTATCCACAAAAATGTCGTATCTGAACATATTAATTTCATAATCTATATTGCATGACACGAAATGGCGTCTTAGGAATAATTTGTTTTATTACCTATTAATCTATAATACTTTTTATTGATTAAGTATCTTATTAACCAATGGAAAGTAATTTCTTGGTTTTTACTGACATTTCTTGAATTATTTGTGCAATATCTAAGTACATATATAAGTATATTTTTATCAAGAGATTTCTTTTAAATTAACACAATACGTGACAACTCTACAAGCGTCTAGCGAGTGACTGATTAAAGTGCGTTGTATGCACCGCAGTTGAGTGGAACATATTAGCTGAATGCAGTGTCGCCTCCAGTACGTAGTGCATAATAGCTCAATGAGATTGAGAATTTTTTTATTAATCTGGCTCTCGAAAAAGTCTGTTTTAAAGGACCAAATTTTAATCGAGACTCTTCTTTTAGTCTACTAAGCCTCACTTTGAATTCTTATATGTAATAAATCTGAATAGAAGTTCATTTCATATGTTAGTTTGTACCTATCTATCTGTTTATTTTGCTCCATATGTATTGTACATCACCGCCATTTCTCTATGCCTCTATGCGGTATTCGGTAACATGCCGCACTATAATCTATCGTGTGAATGTAATGGGTAATCGCAAGATGGCGCTGAATATATTTTTTGTTTGTCGAGAGGATGGTCAAATACTCGAGAGCCAGTTATGCTAGAATCCGATAGGAGGAGCTTCAATCAAATTTTTAACAAATGCTTAATTAAGTTAAAAACCCAAAATAAATGACCTACTCGTAATTGCACAATAACAAAGATTTTTTTAAATATTTTTATTAGTATTATATAAAGATAATTATATAATACTAATAAAAATGAATATAATATATAACTAACTAACACAACACAGATTTATACTTAAAATATAGTTTTAGTTGGTACTACAAATATACCTACCCTTAAGACTACCCTTTGAAGATACCTACCTAAAAAAATTACCACTTCCTCGATCCAAAATATGAATTTCCCATTAACACGAGTTTAAGTACCTACTTAAATAAAATATAATCGAACAGATAACAATCAAAAATAATTTGAACATTTCTTGTAAAAAAAAAATAATATACTTTGTTAATATTTTATGAAATCTTCCATTTTTAATGCAAAGGCTTGGTTATTTTAGTCACCCTGATTATATAATATATATACTATATATATATATATATATATATATATATATATATATATATATATATATATATATATAAAACCCCCAACAATTAAACTCTATCACAGACCAATATCACACCACGCTGAGTTCGGGGCAACGAGGCCAGCGTGATCCCAGAGGAAGACATTCGATTCCGATCACAAGCCCGTTTTCTTAAAAAACGGAGCAGGCGACTAAGATGACGGGCCCCTATGAAAATGGTCCCGGTCTTGACGCCTATCGTATGCGCTTATGTGGATTGTATCTTCTTTACCCTAATATTAGGGTAAACGCTCAAGGATCTTGAAAAAAAAACAGCAAAATCTTCAATAAAATTCCCCGTGGAAATGTGATACTGAACTTTCGTCACTTTCCCCACTTTTACTTTTTCTTTCTTGATTATATTTCCTAGAACTGCCACTGGTCCCGTACTAATTTCAAATCTAACGACTGACTAACCAAACCCGTAAGCTAAACCGTAAGGAATATCGAACATGCGCCATTTCGATCTAAGCTAGGTGCTAATTTTCACTATCACATTTCCATTTATTATATATCATTATACAATTAATTTTTAATAAATAATTTATTACTTTGCAACCTTCCCCTAACCAATTACAATGATGTGTCTTACCTGGATTGAAGAGCACCTCCCGCCCTCCCTCAATCGCATGCACTAACTCCGTCGCCACCACTACTCCCGGCACCACTACTTCCAACACCACTATTCCAGGTAAGACACACCATCGACGCAATACGACACGTGTTTCGCCTCAACACGAGGCATCTTCAGGTAATGTAGACTCTACGGCGACTGACCGCTAAGTGATTAATTTTTATATGAAATACAATAAAGACACATAACAATAATAAATAAGATATGAACATCACATAAAAGAATAATAAAATAATACATTTTACAAGCTATTTCTGAGTCATAAACTGTAAATGTCGACTGAAAACTTTATTAATACAATTTTTGAACTATAAACATGAACGTCTTAAACAATATTATAACAATAATTCACAATTAAATCGTCTATACAATTTATTTTTTAATATAGATATTTTAATTCCTTACATGTATATTATTTCGACTTTATATCAACAGCATTAAATGCTTTTTTACATATTTCTCTTCTTATATTATATAAAACCATCCTGAAACGTTTTTTTACATACTTTTCATGAAATAATTATTTCATTAATCTATTAAAATTATATATTTTGATACCAAATTTAGCAATGTTAATTACATATATATACGAATTGAACAACTCATTTCTACATGACCACAAAAACTATATAGAAGAGAACTCCTCTCTATGTAAGTTTTAAGAAATTTATTTAAAAAAAGACAAACAATGCCACTTACATGAAAAATAATAATTACATTTTAGTATACTTATTCTAATGATATATAGATTAGAAAGTCGAATAAAACCCACAATGCCACAGAAAGGCCAAATTTGACTAACTAGATTACCACCTTTTATTATGAATTACCTGACTGCGGCTAACAGCCGCCATTAACTAGACATTGCCTAATATAAGGCACCGAGGACCCAGGCACCCAGGACCAGCCCATTGAGTGGGCCGTGAAGAATGCCCGGGTAAAGGAGTATACCCCGAGGCCCGAAACCTGCTGGGCACACCCACGCAGACGACGACACGAGCTGGTGAAAAGTAAAGAGATGGCTCTTTCTGACATTTATAGCTATATTTGTCTAGAATAATACCACTTCTTTCTAACTTTTGGCTCTATTTCTACCCCTAATTGTGTGCATTATTATTTCCTTATAAAGCCGTCTTAGGTCATACAGGGGCCCTTGGGCACACAAGAATTTGTGGCCCTGTTGGAAAGTAATAAAAGGTAAATCTATGTTGAATAAAATCATTCATTTCATTTCAAAAAGTGAATGACAAAAACATTTTTCTGCTATAATCTTATATTTATTATAGTTCATTGGTAGAAATCAAATATGTCATTATTGAGGGGTTTTTTCTGCCACCAGGGCGGCGCCACTTTACAGTCAGGTAAAATATTTGACAGATTTCATAGCGGGGATGACAATTTCTCAGGAATGTAAACTTTAATGTTTCTTTCCTAATCTTTTTTTCAATAAAATAAAATATTCTTAACAACATCAACACGTGTATTCTTTTTATTTCTTACATTAAAATTTAGGTTTCACTTGTCTAAAAAAAAGGATCGTAACAATTATTTGCTATAAAATCTAATATTTGTGGTTGAAAATTATCATATTAAATAAATCGTTTGCCGTTAAATCTTTTGAAGTGTTATTTTTATTAAACCGTACGAAATGATACTTTTATCTCAAAAGAAGTATGGCGACTGTACAGCCCGACAAAAACGTTTAGATGGCGGCCAAACGGGGAACTACATATTTCCTACCTAGGAAATATGGAGTGTAGAAGTAAGGAGTGCCAACTCCCATAGTAGAATAGTTGAAAAATTGGCCATCTATAAGCAGTAAATAACAGTTCAAAAACTCTCCTCAATAGCGCTGGAGTAGCTACTGGGATGAAATGTACTTAGCAGTTTTCGACGGTTTGAAGTGTACTGCTAAACTGCTCAGTAGCTCTAAAAAAAAAAAAACGAAACCCCATTTTCGCTCGTTCGTTAAAATTTAGCCCATAGCTATAGTGGCGCCACCCTTATTTAACGGTTTTCTAAGGACACTTTTTAATACACAGTCTGTAGGTACTCCTTACTTCTTCTACACTCCATACTAGGAAATCTGTCAATGCCACTTTTTCCGGCTAACTCGCCAATGTGTGGCTTGACACTGCTCAGAGTTGCCAGAAAGTCACTAACAACGCCCTCATTTACTCTAAAATTTTTGTCGGGTTATATTTGCCGATGCCTGATGCTTGGCCGATGGCCCCGTCATCAGTACGTTAGGGGCCCTGGGCACAGGCCCTGTGTGCCCTGGTAAAGACGGTACTGCTTGCCATATGTTACACATGCTTAAAAGATTTTTTTATAGGAAAAGATGCGTTGTCAGCCTTAACACGTTCTCTGCCGCTTAGGTCATCGGTGACCTCACCCGAACTAGATCGAGACGCCGCGTAGGGCATCAGTGACCTCAAGGTAGACCTAAGTTTGAAACTGATTTGTGAACCGTAGGACATTATTACCGAACATTTAACAATGACATTGGGACGTCAAACATTTCAGTCCCCCCCCCCCGTGACCATGGGTGCTGCAAAGCACCCGAAATGTCGGGAATTAAAAATAAGTAAAATCAGTTAAATAAACGCGATAGAATCCGTAAATTTAGTTTTATTCAATGTACCAGGACAGTTCTTACAGTACGTAACTACTTTTTTAGTTTTATTTAGAGCGACTTTTGAATCATGATTTTTAACATTTTCTTTCTAGCAACCGACGCAGAAACAATTTAGCAACAGATCCCTCTCTTTTCAGCAATTCGTGTTTCATTCTTTTAGGTCTCTCCTGCTGTTGTTCACAATTTTCTTTATCGACTCCTGAATCCACAAGATACTCGACTAACTGACGCCTGAATTGCACTATACCCTGACTAGTGTTTTTGTTCTCTTTATACATAATCCAAGCATTCACCAGCGATGTGTTTAAAAAAAGCTCAATGGCCAGCTTTTTGTACCACTTCACAGTTTTTCTGAGTGGTGATGAATATGAAGTCATTTGATCACTCATATCGACTGAACTTTTTGTTTCATTGTAGGCAAGTATAATTTTTTGTTTTTTAATAGCTTTCCCTTTTTTTAGAACTGTTCGTTTGCCATTTGAGTGTTTCGTCGAAAGCACTAAGACGTCGCGCTTATCCTTCCATTTGAGAACAGTTATACCCCGTTGATTCTCCGTAGCTATGGATTCGCCTTTTTCCAGTTTGGCTTTGACTACTGCCATTGGCAAACCCCTTCTATTCTTTCTAATTGTTCCAATTAGGTGCGTGTCGTGGTTCAATAGTTGATTTGCCAAGTCCAAATTGGTATACCAATTGTCGGTGGCAATTGCATGATCCAAGTTTAATATGTCATCACAGAGAGACATTACAACAATTGTTGGTGTTGTGATCATTTGATCATTTTTACCAGAATATAGTTGTAACTTACAGGTGTATCCCGGGAGGGTACAAAGCTTAAACATTTTCATGCCATATTTATGTCGTTTACTTTTATTATACTGGCGGAAAATTATGCGCCCTCTAAATGCTACTTGGCTTTCATCTACACATACGGTTTCATTTGGGGCGTACAATTTTTTTAAATATTCGTTCTAAGCATTGATAAAGGGTCGAATTTTAAAAATTCTGTCGGATTTGTCCGCTGTCTCACCATCAGTGAAGTGAATCATTCTCAAAAGCAATTAAAATCGGTTACTGCTCATAACAGTGGCGGGAAAATGTTGCCCGAACACCCTGTCTTTACTCCAGTATAAATTTATTTGAGGAAGTTTCACCAGTTCCATGTACAGGATTAATCCACATAATTGTTTAATCTCATCTTTTGATGTCGGTTTCCACTCATTTGCACGAGACTTAGGTTTTAAGGTTTATGATAGTGGTTGCTGTGCAAACAAATTTGTTTCGTTTGCAATCGTCTCAAAAAGACTGTCTGGGACCAAAACACTGAAATATTCTCTCGCTGCACTATTTTTCAATTCTCTCGCATATGGTTGCTTCATACCTGTAAGCAAGAAATAAATAATATGAGGGACAATTTCACGCAAGCCAACTGGCCCCAAAATAAAATTATCGCGAGATAATAACAGGCAGACATACATACAGGTCAAACTGAGAACCTTTTTTGAAGTTGGTTAAAAAAGTACTTAGCACTTACCAGTTGGTTCCGTGAATGCTATGACGGATGGTTGATGTCCTTGTGGTCGTGTCCATTTTTGTACTGAATTAGATGTGTTTTCTATACGAGCAATTTGATTAGAGATATAATTCTCAACCAACCCCGATTCACTTTCGGAGTTACTTGCAATCACACGACGGTAACGTTTTCTTGCTGGTAGGATAGCATCGTTACTAATTTCTTCCTCGGAAAAATTGCGTATCTCACTAAAAATACTAGATTCTAGTGCTTCAATATGTTGTAAGTCTTCTTGAGAAATATCTAAGTCAAAGTCTAAATCGGATATATCCATTTCAGTAAATATTAACGTTCACAGACACAAACTCAACCGTTCGGCGCAAGCGCTTACAGACGACTGAGGTGTGGGGATGACCGGAGGCGTGCCCTACCCGACGCCTCCATAACGAATATTCACTTTTAAGTATTACAGCGCCACGTAGGTCAATTATGACCTCACGAAGTTTTTTTGAAATATCTACGGAATCCAGTTGCAGATCAAAACACTTCATATATAAAAATGTATATTTTGACCTAACGCTTATATTTCCACCAAAAAGTTTTTTTTTGTGTTTTTCATCTTTTATACTACCGGCAGAGAACGTGTTAAGGCCTAAGATGGAATACCTCTTTTCCAGTAAAAAGGGTCTCCGGTTCTCTACACTCACCATACGAAACACAGCAGCATTAAGCTGTTATTTGACGCTGGTATTATGTGAGAGCGTGGTCCTTCCCCAGCCGACCTATTCGTGCTACAACTATACAATTAATGTAACTGCAGCATGGCTCTACTACGTAAAAATACAACAATATTTGAAATCCCTATTCATACGGCAACAGTAAACTCTAATCAATAAAATAAATTTCTTTATTTGCCATTAATAGGGTATAATAATAGGGTACGTATTATGTTCTTACAATAAAATTGCTTAAAGACCTATTAAGAGAGAAGAAGATCTTTTATTGTGTGTGGTATTTTATTATATATTGTTTTACTCATTCAGTAACTACTCAACCAGTAACAACAGTTTACTTTTTGGTATTTCGTTAATTACTATTCGATCTGGGTATCTCGTGTTCATGGCAATGATTTCAAAAGGAAGGATAGGCCAATCTAAATATTTTATTTACAACTTTTTCATACAATAAAAAGCAGCGCATCTGTCATAATACAAACGTCATGACAAAACACGACGTAACCGGGGTCGGATTTCGTAGTATAATTATCCCATTTGTACAATTATTTCGTAGTTTTTAGTATATAGTATCGTAATAATACAAAGCGAAAATACCGTAATTTTACCTAAGGGTCGACTTGTATTATTATTGGGTCCTTTTACATTTTAATATTAACCCCACGATATCGAGAATTATTGTATTGTACATGAGTACCGCGTTTTTTTAATAAAATTAGAATTAGCTCCCTTTATAGTCAATTGATGCTCGATCGATGCATTTATGTTGCATCCTTGATACAACTATAATGAGGGGCTACCACGATAAAAACTCTGTGCTCCAGAAGCAATCCATTTGAAAACAGAATTTCAAAATATTTCATGTAAGTATCAGATTTCCAGATTCAATTAAGCAGGTTTCTTTTGTACACTTTTCGTTTTAGTCTTATTGAATATAAAATATATTAGGTACCAATATTCAAAATTTAAAAAAAAGTTCTTTAGACAAAAATTAAACAGAAATAAATATAAAATCCGTCAAAAAACGAATGTGAATGAGATAAACTAGACGCGTGATGCCAAAATCCCGGCACATGGGAAAAAAGAAACATGAAACGTCAAACGTGATATAATTTTAACCTCCATGTACAATATTTTTGAGGGTCTGAATCCAACCCTGGCCTAATCTTGATAACGTAACTAAACTAACTGTAAAATAAAACTTTAAAAATTCGTTTATATAATAATTGCATTGTAGCAAAATTAATATAAGGTTATTTACCGGCGATACGACATCCGTTTTTTTTCAAATGTTTGTATTGTAATTTTTGCATTCTTTTACCCACGCAAGTAGACATATTTATGACAGGCAAATCTGTCCTGCGCGCGCACTACTGTCGACCGATTCGCGTTATTTTAGGGCCAGCGCACTGGTCCGTTTTAGTTGTTCGGTCGGCCCGTTCCTTACGCTAGTAATATATAAGTCAATGGTTCATGGATATCACTTCTTTATTAAGTTTATAAAAACTCTTTCCGTGCTGTTTAATAAATTTGGCAACTTCTAAGATATACAAGCAAGGCACGGGTAAGATCTCTAATGTCTTAAGTAGAGGCCGGCATAAGACATCTGGACCAACACCATAAATGGCACGAATCCATTTTTTTGCGCTACATAAACTTTATTAATATCTGCACTGTTACCCCAAATTACAATCCCGTATCGGATAATCGACTTAATATATGCAAAATATGTCATAATTGCAGTTTGTTCTGTTGCCACTTTTGTTAGTCTGTAATGCGCATATGCACCTATTTACTTTATTACATATTTTACAAACTTGTACTTTCTATTTTAATTCTTTGTCAATAATCATACCTAGGAATGTTACGTTTGTAGCACTACAGAGAATTTGGCTATTATGATTAATATTTATTAAATTGCTATTTATATTATTGAAATATATAACTTTTTTAACTTTTCTAAGCCAGAACTTAGCTATAATCCCACCTAATGATAAGTGCTGATGTAGCTTAAGGTGGTAAAGCGCGCTGACTTAATAAAAACCTATTCACTCTTGCCTTGAAGACACCCACATTGTAATCGGATGGAAAGACAGATGCTGGCAATTTATTCCACTCCTTTGCTGTACGCTTGACGAACGACGTAGCAAACCGTTTGGTTTGAATGTGTGGTAAGTCAACAAAGAAAGGGTGGAGACTGGCCAAACGTCTGATTGTCCGATGGTGGAAGGGAGAGGGAGAAATTAAATTATGCAATTCCTGCGCACACTCTCCGAAATGCATCATGTAGAAGGCCGAAATGCTGGCTACTTTACGCCAGTGTTCGCGGCTGGTAAGATTGGTTTCAAACAAATTAGTTTTACTTAAGTTTATTGTTAAATTGTTATTACGTAACCATTTCGTTACATTAGAGATTGTTTCATTTAATATCAAAAATATGTTTCGTCAGTGACATATTTTTATTTGTTGTGACTATCAATGAGACGTCATCCGCGAATAAAGTGCTTCTATATTTAGTAATCTCGGGTAAGTCATTTAAATATATCAAAAATAAGAGTGGACCTAGTACACTACCCTGAGGTACATCAAACGCGTTTTTTCTAAATTTGGATCTATAACTTTGACTTACATGCCTGTTTTCTAAGTATGACTTCATCCAGTAATTCCGTTTTGATCAAGTTTGAGCAAAAGCTGGTCGTGTGATATAAAGTCAAAAGCTTTTGACATGTCGAAAAAGATAGCAGTAGTATATAGTGCGTCATTAATATTTCTAATATATTTTTTATTAAATTAAAAGCAGCCAGTGTCGTAGATTTCGATTTTTGAAATCCATACTGAGTTGGATTTATTCTGTTAAATTTATTAAGGAAATCCGTAACCTTATCGTGCATGACTTTTTCAAAAAAATTATTAAATAGGTACCAATGTTGCTGGACGGTAGTTTTCCATCAGTGTTTTTTCTCCTTTTTATAAGAGTTTTACAACCGACACCTTTAGTTTTTCTGAAAAGGTGCCAGATTCCATTGACAAATTAACTAAATGGGCTAGTACTTTACCAAATTGATTTTTTGCAAGCTTTGATAACATTTGTACATACGCCACGATAACCTTAAGTCAATATATTTATCTGCTGCTATATGCCCTAGTTCATTCTTAACAATTTTCCAGGTTGATTTCACAATATTTTTACTATTTAATATAAACTTATTATTACTACATTTTTTAGCGTAATTCATACAGTTTTTTAAAAAACTTGTGCAATTGTTAAATACAACTTTATTATGATTTGTTTTATTTATGTAATATTTGTAACGTAATATTTAAACTACTTTTTTATACCTTTTGATATCCAGTTTATATGTGGTCTAATGTTAGATATAATTTTTACTATCGCAAATCAAAGTTTGTAAAACAGATGTATGAGTTCATAAATTTAATAAAAGCTAAATTTAGGTCATTTTCCAAAAACACTTCAGAAAACGATAAATTTTCTAAACAATTCTGAAACTTATTAATGTTTGTCTGAGAATAACTTCTATTGAAAGAGAAAACAATTTTTGGTAGGACCTTTTTTTGTTGACGGTAAACCTTAACATTTGAGCAGTTTTGTGATCCGATAACGAAAGCGGAAGAATTATCGCAGTGGCATTTGGTACGTTACTAATAACGTGATCAATACAGGACTATCCTCTAGTTGGTCTTGTAACATGCATTTTTATAATATCTGTGAATATAGTCGTTACATTATCATTTACTGGCGTATTAATTTTTATCCCCGGCTATTACAATTTTCTTTTTTTGAATATTTTTCATTACATTTATACAACAACAATTCAAGTTTTTGAAAAAAATAACCACAATGCCGTTTCTTTTAGTCGGTATTCTATATTACGTATAATTAATATATTGCTATGGGGAATCAACACAGAACACAACATTCGAAATGGAACGAGACAGCCAAATCATTAAAACAATTTTCCTCTTTTGAGCATAACACAAGATCCACCACATTTTTTGTTCGTTGAGAAATACGACGCTATTTCATAGTTTTTTATTATTATACTTTTTCTTTTCCATATTTTACAAAAATTTCCTTAAAACAAAGGGCATCTGGATTCATTTGATCCTTAAGCTCAGAAAGTGTAATTTCGATTATTTCCTTTTTTAGACAGCAGACCCTGAATATTTTGGTGCAATATACTGAAACCATTGACAGACTTAGGAACGAAAAAATGTAGCATTTAAGAGTAAGCGTCGATGTAATTTGTGAAGCTTTATTTTTAATTGGATAATAATAGGGTATTTACTTTTTTAGTGACCGTTATATAATTAGAACCTATCATGTTCGATTGCAATGTATGTTTTGTCTTGAAAATATTTGTGACGTTTATGGCTTTGAAATAATAAGGGATAGTGCCTTTTTTCTTTGGCAATTGTGATATTTTCTGTGCATCATTAGCGTTTTTTAGTAATAGTTTTATGTGTCGCATTGTGTGCAAATGTAAGAAACTGTAGATTATATTCATTTAGATCTATATAAAAGTTAATTTTTTTGCAAATATAATTTAAATAGAATTTCATATTTACATCACAATATTTTATATTTATAAAGGTAATTTTTTTTTTTAAATATCTAGACCATAGGTAAAATTTATTATTTAATTTATATATATTAAGATACGGATTATAATTTACGGGCATAATATAAACAGTGGCGTTCTTCAAAATATTGAGAATGGAACTAAAATTAAAATGTAATAATTGCGGATTTATATCATTATCTCCTACACCTAATAACTATATCATTATTAGATAAATTATCAACCATATTTCTACAATAGTTTAGAATTTCACTACTAGTTGCATTGTTCATTATATAAGCCGAGGGTTGTATTTATCATTCCATTTTCGAGTCTTGTTTTAATTAATGCTGCCGATAGGCCCAGCAATTGTTCATCTTCTATTATGTGTATTGTTTGATTCTGATGCAAATTTTTGTTATCCTCTTTTTTTGATTTCTTCCGACGTATCGCTATGAGAACTATTGCACTTTACTAATTCATTATAAGGGTGGGCGAAACTGTTATATTTTCCTAATTCGTTAAGATGTTGTAATATATTTTTCTAACTGTTATTTTAAACTGGTATAATATATTATATACATACTATATAACATATTATAACAGTTTCAAATATTACATTGTACGCGCGGTTAGTTCAGTTCAGTTGTCGACTGTGTGAGCGTTATGTTAGTTGTTATAACGATTATAAATATGATAATAATGGGCGTTATAAATTCAAAAAATTTTCTAAAATTTTGCAATAATTGCACACTGTTTTTTTTTCGTCCACACTTTGGACTATAAAATAGTTTCAAACAGCTGCCGCGCTACGCTAACACGCAAAATCCTGTCTATATTACACTAAATATTTTCTATTACTTTGGGTATAAATCTCAACGAACAAACAAAAACAACAGTAGCTTCATCACGTAATATGAAGCGCCTACTATCAAAACATTACGTATATTATAACACATAACAGTGTCATTGTCATCTCAGCTAGACAGCTAACTAAACACTAATATATTAGCCAAAAAATTAAACAACAGGCACATTAGTAATTAGCTAGCAATGAACGAAATACAAGCAAATATATTTCTTTATCGTTATATTTAGTGTTACTAAAATAAGCTCTTACACCGTTATTTTAGAGTTTAAATAAGTATAAACCATACGCAATCCTTGTGGCACAATGAATGTAATATGTAGATTGACTCCGATTGAGGCGCCGCGTCTCGGCCGACGGCTAGAGACCTTAAACTAGCTAGCGCATAGGTACGCAAATCACAAATGATAGTTGTGAGTTGTGACTGTTACTTTTGTTAGATGGCGGTTTCTAACGATATTAAATTATAACAGTGAAAGGTCGATTATTCTAATGTGTTGTAAAATTATAAATATATAATGAAATATATCTGTTGTTTGTTATAACGCCCAACTTTAATTCATTATGGTGTCTTGGTAGTGAACTGTGTCTAAAAAGATTGCTATTATCTCTACTAGATGGCGCTGTTTGATATTTACATTGCTCTGTTATTTAGTTATATTAGTTAGATATTTACATTGCTCTTTGTTTCAATTAAAGAGAAGTCCAAATTACTTTTATTTATTTTCTTCACTTTTTTACACGTGGAGCTCTTTAGAACTATTTTTTATAAGTTAGGAGTGGTTTTGCATAATTGGTTTAGTTTATTATTATTTGTTTCATATTCCGAAATTTTATTTTTAAGAGCACAATTTTCTATTGACCATATCTTAAAATATGGTCAATTTCGTTTTCTGCTATTTCTAATTTCTCTGTAAGATAACCTATTTTGTTCTCCAATTCTTCTATCTTCTCCGAGTTAACAGAATCTATTTCTGGGCAACTTCTATTTAATTCAGATGTTTCAATTAATAACGAATACTCCGATGACAGCGAGTCGAAAGAATTCTTTACAGGTATATTAATTCTATATTTATTTCTGATTGTTATATTATTCGATGGTGTAAGTGGTAATCTTACTTCATAACATTCTCCACATTTTCACTTATTTTTGGTATCCACTGACATCAAATAAAATCTTTTATTTGAAACATTTGTACAGTCCAAATGGAAACTCTCCTTACAGTAAGAACAAGTTAAATATTGCTTGTCCGATATAATAATTTTATATTTAAAACATACACCCATTTTGCGTATTATTTTGTGCATATGACTACGACTTTATTGCTACTCTATATATATAAGCGCCCTCTATTGGCCAACTTGCTAATAACGTTTGCGATAATCAAATAAACATTAGCGTGGTTTTAGCATCTGTCCATAAGATGGAACTATAATATTTAAGTTTTTATTTATTTGTTATTAATTATTATTTACTAAATTTTACTACCCAAATATCTCAAAATTTGCGTTATTTTAAAAGAATAACCAGTCCACTAAAGAAATAAAAACAAAAAAAAAATTTTGCAATAAACTATGTAACGGTCTTTTATATTTTTGAAATTATAAGCTCAATACTCAAAGAATATAACGGAGCCGATGTTAACGTGACAGCAACGCCATCTGTTCCTAATCAAATCTAAATCTTCTAAATCAAATCACCCTAGATTCATAAACACACGTCTCTCATACACCCTCAAGTAATAAAACTCTCACTTTGAGTATTAATACTCAAAGAACTCTCACAGCGCGTGGCGCGAAAGAGATGGAAATACAAGCGTTTCAGTACCTTCCTAAAACGACGAGTGCTCACTTCGGCACATAGAGTAGAGTAATATATACAGAAATAGAGAGCCATCTCCTAGGATTTTTTGTCACCCAATATGAATAGTGTCGCCGCCTGGTATCATATCCCTTGAACTAATCTCAATATCATGTTGACTATAGATAGCTGTATGTAGTTATGTATATACAGCTATCTATACTATAGGCGGTTATATTTATATTTTAAGGGATTAGGGTTCAATTAAAGACGTATTATAGATTTCAGTAATATTAACATTTATTTTTGTTATATATGTACTTAACACACACGATGTAAAAGCGTCTATTCCGCAAAATACAACACCAAACCAAATTAAATACGTCCACCGGGTTACCGGAATGATAAATGAAAGGGTCTATTTCGTACAACACTACTCAAACATACAATGTAATTCCAGCATGAAAATTTAAACAGACAACAAAGAAACAGAGGGCTAATCCCAACTCAACCAAACTTATCGTAGCAACAACCGAAAATCACTTATAAACTACAATAAAACAACAACTTGATGCTCAGCGCCGGTAGCCACTATGTCATATACAGTTTCTACTTGCCATTTCCAGGATAACCAGATTTGGTGTAGTCACCATCTAGCGCACCTTTTATAATTTAATGTTCGATAGTTTATGGGGATATAGTACAAGATGGCACTAGTGTCTTTGCAAATTATTGAACTCCAACCTAAAGTATGGAAGTGTACCCCCCCCCCTGCTTCGGCACCAGCAGTTTTGGCGCGTACACGAATAGTTTCGGATATACTGAGCCCGAGGTGTTTGAGATACGTATGTTTATGATTAGTGTAACAACATTATAAATTAGATAGTTTTATTGTTTGCCTTATAAAACGAAATAACGTCAAGGAATTTTTCAAAAAAAGGTATGTATTTATTCTATTACATTCTATGTAATTAATTATTAATATGAAAGATTATTATTAATTGCCGTGGTTAAAATTTTGATAAGTAAAATATTTTACTAGGTATTAATTCGTTAATAACAGTTATTATTTATTGGTATACTATTTATTTTGTGTTATTGTTTTCCAGTATGACTTCTTTGAATGAAGATGAGATTTATGCAATATTATCCAGAGTGGGAGACGAGGAAGAAGCGGTTCCTCCAAATGATTTGGACAGTGAAGTTGAGGATATTTTGGAGACAGATAGTGAGCAACCTACAGATGCTTCAACCGATTCTGACGATGAACCTCTTCGAGTATCAAATATTAGTCGCCGACGTCGAATAAATTCTTCCGACTCATCGGATAATACCCGACCTACGGAAGAGATTAGCTCAGGCGAACGACAACAGGCAGCTCAAATAATTTTTCCATCAAATAATAATTTAAAAGGTAAAAATGGCCATAAATGGTCAGCACAACCTTCCGAAGCTCGTACGAGCAGAACACAGTCAAGAAACATTGTTCACATTATTCAAGGGCCCAAGAATGAAGCAAAAAATGCTACAACTCCATTGGAACAATTCAAATTGTTTTTTTCGGATTCGATGGTGAGTATCATTGTATTGAACACAAACGTAGAAATTTCTACTAAAAGAGAAAAATACGCTGCAAAAACAGCAACCGTTAGTGACCATTATTCAAGAGTTTCTTACCTCTTATTTCCTCGACAAAAGAAAAGAGTACTCTTAAAGGGCCGGCGCACGCAATCCCTTCTTCCTCTTCTATAAAAAATACTTGTGCTAAAGAAATATATGCCTTGATAGGATTGCTGTTGTTAGCCGCAAGGAAGAAAGATAACCATCTTACCACCGCAGAGCTGTTTGATCCCGCTGAAAGTGGGACAAAATATATTTCAGTCATGTCAAAAGATAGGTTCGATTTTTTGCTGAATTGTCTAAGATTCGATGAAAAATCAACTCGCGAAGAACGAAAGGCTACTGATAAGTTTGCGCCTATAAGGGAAATATGGGATATGTTTATTGCTGTATGTCGAGATAGTTACAAACCTGGCTCATATGTAACAGTGGATGAACAGCTACTGGGGTTTCGGGGACGTTGTCCCTTCCGCATGTATATACCTTCAAAACCTGATAAATATGGTATAAAAACTGTAGTTCTCTGTGACTCTAAGTCAAACTACATGATAGATGCAATACCATATATGGGAAAAGGCACAAACACAAATGGAGAACCCTTAGCATCTTTCTTTGTGAAGAAACTTTCCGAAACTATTAGAGGCAGCAATCGTAATGTGACCATGGACAATTGGTTCACGTCAGTTCCTTTAGCAAAAGAACTACTGCAGAATCCATACAAATTAACAATTGTAGGTACAATTAGATCTAACAAGCGCGAGATCCCTTCGCAACTTTTGCAGCCAAGACAAACAAGATCTTCAATGTTTTGTTATGACGGAAACTCTACATTGGTATCTTACCGGCCAAAAAAATAAATAAAAATGTTCTGCTTCTATCGACGGCTCATGGAATTGGCACTTTAGCGCCATCTGGTAAGCCGGATATAATAGAATTCTATAACTCGACCAAAGGTGCTGTTGACACGTTTGATCAAATGTGCCACAATATGTCGTGTCGTGCAGCAGAAAAACTCAGCGATGGCCGCTTTGCTACTTTTACGGTATGTTGAATATGTCCATGGTCAATTCTTTTGTTATCCATGTCCACAATAATAGCCGTAATCAAAGAAAAACACTGACAAGACGAGCGTTTATCAAAGAAGTGTCAGATAAGATGATAGAACCCTGGTTACGGCGACGCCGCGAAACACCAACTTTGAGGCGATGCCTAAAACGGAACATCGATGCTATTTTAGGCGATACTTTGCCTGATGTCCCAGCCAACCCCGAAAGTCAAACTAGGAAATTATGTAACTTCTGCTGTTATAAAAAAAAACGTGTGACCAGATTTATCTGCACCTCTTGCAAACGTCATATGTGTATGGAACATCGCGGTAGTTTGTGCCTAGAATGCTCGGATTGAATTTTTTAAATTGTTTTGCTCGTTTAAATCCTAAATAAAAGTTCATTATAATCAATATTCGTCGTTTTTTTTTAATATCTACTGTAATCATTAAATTAGGTGACTTTAAAAGTAAGGTGTATCAGATACATAGAACAATGCAACCCAAATATAGTTTATGAATCTAGGGTTAAATTCCTTTCAAAGAAAAAAATATTTATTTGACAAAAATTAAACGTTTTATTTCTAGAAACACATGATCATTTGAGTGAACATTGCGTCCGCGTATCCGCGTCGCCAACAATAAGTTATACCCTTTTATAAACAACATAAAACGTGCAAATGTATGGAGTGTAGAGGTAATCAAATGCAACGAATGGCTTTGATATATTTCTTGTGTGAATACACTCCGAAAGTGAAATGCTCTTCCGAAAATAAATGAACTGCCAAGGTTCACAGTTAAATCGATGTCATCCGATAGCGTCCATTTTGATAATTGTTATAATCTTTTTTTGTTTGTATATTAAAGTGGAATGAAATTTGTTTTAGTCGCAGTAAAGATTAATTTTCAAGCTTTCAAGTATGAAACTAAAACTATAAAAAAGACGTGTGGCACTCGGGGACTGCCGCGGTAAAGCTATTGCATAGCATTTTGTATCAACTTATGCAATTATAATTATTTATTTATTTTATTTATGCAGTATTTCTTTTTCTTTGATATTAATTCAAGTTACTTAGGTTAATCCAATCAAATTCAACCAGATTTAACCGAACCCGCGTTATAACGAACTCACTATTTGTGAAAAATACTGTATCACCGGACCGCGTCGCAAAAAACTCAGGTTCGCGCAGTACATACGTCAGGGCGGCCGTACGGCAATTATATTAACAAGACGCGCAACTACTCAGTTCCACGCTCCACGGCAAGATTTGTCACTTATTATTTATTGTCCAATTAATTGTCTTTAAGTTCAAATGGCACGCTCTATTAACATAAGTCTAAGACAAAACAAGGAGACTTTCAATATATGAACAACCCGGCTTCGCGCAAAAACTCTCGCGACCCCTATAATGCGACCGGAGAACGTCATCGGCGCAGGCGCCGCGTGCCTAGCTAGGAGCGCGCCCTAGCGGCGGGCCGGGTGCAGCTCGGCCCCGCCCTCTGCTCCCTAGCTCGGCTCGATGCCAACAGGGGTGACTAAAGATAGGCGAAACTGTTATATTTTTCTAATTCGTTATGTTGTTGTAATATATTTTTGTAACTGTTGTTTTAAACTGTTATAATAAATTATAACACTTTTAAATATTACATTGTACACGCGGTTAGTTCAGTTCAGTCGTCGGCTGTGTTCGCGTTTTGTTTAACGAAAAATAAACAAAAACAACAATAGCTTTTTCACGTAATATGGGGACCTGCTATCAAAATATTACGTATATAATTTAACAGATAACAGTGTCATTGTCATCTCAGCTAGACAGCTAACTGAACACTAAACTGATATATTATATATTACAATAGCCAAATTAAATAACTGGCACAAAAGGCAACTAATGAAGGAAATAATATATTTTTGTTTACCGTTATAATTTAGTGTTAGTAAAATAAGCTCTTATTAAGTTAGCTTAGAGTTTAAATTAGTGTAAGCTATACGCAATCCTTGTGGCATAATGAATGTAGGTAGTATTTTATTGACTCCCATTGTCTCGGCCGACGCGACGGTTGGACCGTAAACGTAAACAGATGACGCTTTCTAACGATAATGAATAACATAACATACATAAACACTCACGCCTGTCACCCTGAGGGGTAGGCAGAGACTACAGATTTCCATTTGGGACGATCCTGACACATCTCTCTCGCCTCCTTCACATCCATACACCTACGCATACATGCTCGTCGGTTAAGGGTACTCCTAATTTGGCCCGTTTCAAATAAATCGCCAATTTGGTCGATACATTTTCGCCTAGGACGTCCCTTTCCGACTCTGCCATTCACTTCTGCAACATAAATTTTCTTTGTCACTCTTTCCTCATTCATTCTTTCCACATGACCAAACCACCGAAGCATTCCTCTCTTAATCCTGGTCACAACATCATCTTGCAAACCACACTCTTCTCTTATTACACAATTTCTTACCCTGTCATTCAGATTCAGCAATAACATACTCCTTAACGACCGCATTTCTACTGCGTTTATTCTACTCTCGTGCTTCTTCTGCCACACCCAGCTTTCACTACCATACGTTAAAGTAGGGACCAACACAGCATTGTGAATTGCCATACGTGCCTTTTTCGACACATTTTGACTCTTCACAATAGAGTGCAAGGCCCCATTTACTCTATTTCCCGCATTCACTCGTCGTTCTATATCCTTATCATATCTCCCATCCCTGCTAAATACGCAGCCCAAATATAAAAACTCATCTACTTGCTCGATCAACTCCCCTTCTATTCTTATTTTACAAATCGTTTTACTTTCTTCTCTTTCAAAAACCATAACCTTCGTCTTACTTGCGTTCACTTTCATACCCCTTTCTTTTAATGATCCGTTCATTAATGTAACCATCATTTGCAACTCGGCCGCCGACGACACAAGAATGACTTGATCATCGGCGTACAAAAGGCATTTGACGGTTAACTCACCTATTCTTAATCCGCATTCTTCAACTTTCAAATTTTGCAAACAACTGTCCATAAATAGGTTGAACAGCCACGGGGAAGCCACACAGCCCTGTCTGACACCTTTATGGATGTCAAACCAGTCCGAGTAGACCCCGTTGATCCTAACACAAGCACTAGAGTCCCTATAAAGAGACTCCAATGCCTGTATCAAGCCAGCGCTCAACCCAAATGAGTTCAGTGTTTGCCATAGCAAATCCCTATCCACTCTGTCATAGGCCTTTTCCAAGTCCATGAACGCACAAAAAACCTTTTGGTTTTTGGCCAGAAACTTCTCCGCGATCATGCGCATGGAAAAGACTTGATCTGTACATCCCATTCCCTTTCTAAATCCCGCTTGCACATCCCAAATTTTTCCATCAGTTTCTTTCATGACCCTTTCAATCAGTACCTTAGCGTACAGTTTTCCTACAATGCTAAGAAGGCTGATGCCACGGTAGTTATTACAGTCCTGCTGCGACCCTTTTCCTTTATATACTGGGACTATCACGGCTTTGCACCAGTCTACCGGTACCCGCTTCAGTTCCCAGCATAAATTAAACAAGGTGTGCAGCAGGCCTGCCACCACCTCCTCCCCAGCCCTTAGCATTTCGAGTGAAACTCTATCATATCCGGGCGCCTTACCCGCTTTCATGCTTTTCATTGCTTTCATTATTTCATCTATACTTATCTCGCTACCTCTTTCCTTTTCTTTCGGAGTTTCTACTTCACTTAGTACACATGTTGTCTCCTCACTCATAAACACGCTTTCAAAGTATTCCTTCCATCTCTTTAAACTCAAAACTTCATCAATCAGAATATAGCCATTCTCGTCTCTAATAGCATTCATCATAGGCTGTTTTGAATGTCCCTTGGCAGTTCTTACCAGTTTCCAGAACATTTTAATATTTTCCTGGAAGTTATCCGATATTCTTCTATCATTCTTATCCGTTCTTTCTTGCTTTTTTCTTTCAACTACCTCTTTTACTCTCTTATTAAGATGTCTAAAGACTGCCTTTTTTCTTTCAATATCATCATTCGTACCGCTAGAATTACCAGACTTTGTTGCTAGTAAATCTAGCCATACTCTC